GAGAGAGAGAGAGAGAGAGAGAGAGAGAGAGAGAGAGAGAGAGAGAGAGAGAGAGGGAGAGAGCTGACTCAGTAGAGAGTGAAATATGCAAAGAAATATCGATAGCCTGAAATACCAGGCTCAGGGCAGTTAATCATAAGGCCGCTCCAAAGATAAAAGACCGAGGGAAATGTTGAGGAGGAAGATCTTGAGGCGGCAGAAGACGTACGTTTGGTGGTGGAAGAGACAGTCAAGGACAAAGAAGGTGCAAGGAAGGAAGAGCGAGAGGAGGAAGTGTGTTATAGGTGAAATGCGTTTTTCTCTCTTCTGCTTTCCCTCTCTCTCTCCTTCTTGCGCGTGTGCAACCAACCGTGTTGAGATCTTAAATGAGATGGAGCGATCTTGATAACAAATGGAGCGTTTACGTCCACCGGATAAAGGGAAAGAAGTATTTCTTAGGTGGGGCCTTACGAAGGAAGGGCGTAAGGTCGAGGGAGGAAGGGGGAGGTAGGGAGCAGGACGGAGGGAGGGATGGAAGTAGGAGGTCAGGTGGTGATCGGGCTGAGGAAGGAAAGGGAGGACGGAGATCGGGGGAAGGAGGAGGTCAGACAAAGATCAGGCGAGCGAAGGGGGCGAACGAAGGGGAATGAGGCGGCCAGGCGGACGGAGGGCAGAGGGAGGTTGAAGAGAAGGTGTGGAGGAGGCCTGTAGGCAGCAGGGGAAAGGCGGGAGAGAGGGGCGGAAGCAGGAGGTCAGGTGGAGATCGGGCCAAGAAAGGGAGGGGAGGAAGGAGATTGGGGGAAGGAGGAGGTCAGTGCAAATCGGGCGGAGGAAGGAGTAGGACGGAGGAGATAGAGGGAAGGAGGTCAGGCGGAGATTGGGCGGAGGAAGGGGAGTGAGGTGGCCAAGCGAATGGAGGGCAGAGGGAGGTTTTAAGAGAAGGTCCAGAGGAGGCCGGGAGAGAAGGGAGGCGGTAGGGAGAAGTAGGGCGGAGGGAGGACAGAGCAGAACGTAGTTTAGAGGTTGAGTGACGTATGGAGGAAGGGAAGAGGTAAGGGGGAGACGAGCATGGGAAAAAGCGTGAAGACGAAGTGGAAGGAGGCCGGGAGGAAGGGGAAAGACGGCAGGGTGAAGTCGGGCGGAGGGAGGGCAGATGGAAGGAGGAGGGAGGGAAGACGTTGGGTGGGGTACGGAGCAAGGGAAGAGGTCAGGTGGTGGAGAGAGAGAGAGAGAGAGAGAGAGAGAGAGAGAGAGAGAGAGAGAGAGAGAGAGAGAGACACGCAAATGGATTGGTGGGAGAAGGAGAATGAAGAGGGGCGCGTGAGAATTGGGGAAAGGAGGGAGAGAAGGGCAGCGGAAGCCACAGTAGGACGGGGGGAGGAAAGAATTTAAAGAGGCGCAGAGCGATACCGCGGGTGGAGTTGGAGGAAGAGGAGGAGGGGGCGCATGGCACAACGTCATGGGAGGGAAGGGAGAGTCGAGGGGTAAGGATGGTACAGTAACAAAGGCGACGAGCGGGAGGGATAGCGGTACATGTCATGGATGGGGTAAAGATGAGGGGACCGGGAAGGGGGGCAGGGCGAAGGTGGAGTGTGGAAGGCCGAAAATCGCGCCGCGTGGCAGCGTCACGAGGAGCGATTTTATCTCTATTTCTCTGTTTCCCTTATGTGTGCTTTT